TGTATTAATATGCTTGGAAGATAATAGAGGCTCAAAGGTTACTTAAGTGATATTCTAATTGACTTAAAAGATTCCAAATGTTCTCACTTGTATAAAAGAGTTTCCTAAACATACAAATCCCCAATGCAATTCATTTCAATTCTATTAAAGGAGATGCCTTTTGAGTTGATTAGAGGGTTTTTAGCTGCAAATGAAAGAACACTCAGTTAAAATAGATTTCAACAAAGAGGAAACATTATCTTATATAAGAAGAGATGCCGTTTAGGGTGATGGTATGGTTTCTTTGATACATTCTTCGGGGACCCAGTGTCTTTCTACATTTGTATTCCACTGACCCTAGGGTGCTGACTTCATCTTTGAGTTCTGCGTCTCGTGGTCCCAGGATAGCTGCTTTTTGGTTCTGCAGATCCCACTTGCAGGTAGCCTGAGGCACCCCAGGGAGAAAGAGCTCTCCTGAAAAGTTCCTATCAGACTTTGTGTGTGTCTCTCGGCCAGAGTTTCATTACATAGCTGACACCAAGCCTGTTGCTGGCAAAGGGGATTGCATTTGGCATTGATATCTTGGATTCAGCAACTTTCTCCCCAGAGTTGGGGAGGGGCCCATTTTCCACAAGCGTATGACCCCTGGTGCTTTGAACAAAAATAGTGTTCTGTTAGCAAGGAAGAAAGGCGGGGGAGGGGGAGGAAATGGTTGTGGTGTAGGTAACCAACAGCGTTTTTCACACCATCCTCATCTTCTCTGAAGGGAGGAGGGAGTCAGTGGTTATTGCCAAACTCAGATCAAGAATATGGCACGATGGCGAAGACATTGGAAATTACAGTTGTGTGGCCTTTATGCTCGGGCATTGACCATGCTTTCTTTTTTCAGTGTCATTGGTGACATGGCCAAAATACGTCATGAACACAAGGCAACAGCAATCTTAGAGAAATCGCTTTGATGAGTCTTCTGGCTTTGTTTTTATTTGGCTGGGTTTTTTAGACCAGTCCATTTGTCATGTGGATTGGACTGAAGGGACATAAAATTAGATCTTTACCCAAGGAAGGAGAGAAATTTTAATATATAGAGAGGGAACTAAAGAGCAAGTAGACACTCAGGATACCAATCCAGTAGAAGGAGGACTTAAAAGATTAGTTTTCAGAGTAACCAGAGTGGACAAAATGCTCATCAGTCTGCGATTTTCCTGTTACCTGGTGTCATTTTCTTTACTTCTAATATTAGCCCCTTATTCCTTAGTGTCACTTCATTTTATATCTGAAGAATAGCTTGTGTTTAATTCATTTGATGTTTTTTTAATAGTGTTTTAATCACTGTATATGATCATGCAATGCCCCGAGCACATTGGCTGGAAAATGGTTTATAAATAAAATTATTGTTATTATTGTTATCTTTATCTCTCCTAACAATACTCATTATATTAAGATTATATCTAGGCTAGAAATAGTTCAACATATGTGATTATATGTAATCAGTCTATTTTTTCTGCTTTTTTTTTTTAACACCGCTCTTGCACTCAGCTTTGTTCTTATCGCTAAACAAAATATTGCTTATAAGTTGTAAGTAACTGCGATTTGCTTTGAACAGTAATTCTTAACAGGTTTCAACAAGAGTCTGTTCCTGGTAGGACTGGGATCCAAGGAAACTCCTCGTTCCCAATGGACATGTATTGATGCTGGGTGTAGCTGTACGTGGAGATTGAACTTCTACTTGGAGCCCAGAATCCTGAGTGTTTCCAGAGGCTAAACCTATGATTGATAAAAATATCAGAAAAGCCAATATTAGCTTGATAATGGAAACGACTCATACTTGTTAGTACCGTCTGCACACGGACTAGGCTGTACTTGGCTGTGAATTCCCTACCATTGTCGGGGATCTAGTGGATTGTCTATCACGCCACTGATTTGGGATGTTGAGAAAAGAACTCGTATGTTCAATAGAAGATACTGTTCAGTGGCCTCCCAAGCAGATTCCCTTCCTCAGACTCTGCGTGCCTCAGTTTCTCTCTGTGAGTTGAGTAACAACGCTGACCGTAGGACCACCCATCCAGGGCCCTTCAAGGCCATAATGCAGTGCGCTTTCTCGTCAGCACATTTTGAAATGTTACAAAGAATATTATGATGCTTATCAGTGTTAAACAAGGAGTAATAGATGTCTGGAGGTGGCAGCTGGCTGGTTTTGGGGGAGGTTCAAGTGCAGATCAAGGTTTACGTATCTGATTCTCTATGTGGGTCAAAGTGTCTCCCTCTTCTCTGTGTATATTAACCAGTCTATATTATATAACATTTTCGTAAGTGGGAAGTTATAGTAGTTAAAGGTATTACTGTGAAGGCCACCACCTGTGCTTCTTCACCTGATGGGTGATTTTGCCAAAGCAGGTGTCTGTTGGCATCAGAACTGGCCAGATAGGAGCATCAACCATGCAAACGCATCCTGTTAGTCAAAGAGGCACAGATGCAACCAGGCAGCAGCCCACCGAGAACGGTGCAGCAGTAAGAGGTGTTATGTTGAGGGCGAAATCTGAGGCCCGAATGGGAAATCTGAGATCACTTTGCCAGACTCTGGGGAAGGACAGAGATGATGGTGACATTTGAGAGGACCATCATCAATTAAGCAAACGAAGAAACAAAACCAAAAAAAAAATGAAAAGTGTATTTTTGGTTGTGAAGTTTCCAACCCAGCTCAAGTCCAGCTTTTCCCATGAACTCTTCCTGGGCCATGCCTTCCAGCGTTGAGACCTCTGAGTTCTAGATGGTCTAGGAAACCCATGTGGTCCTGAAGTACTTATTTGATTGCTATTAAACTATTGCAGTCTTAGAAGGGAGCTAGCTGTCAAAACCTTTAAAAAATCAACAAGTAATTTTTTTTGCAGCTATTTATTTTTTGATACAGTTTCTTTTTTTAATGTTTTATTTATTTCTAGGAGAGAGAGAGAGAGAGACAGCGTGAGCAGGGGAGGGTCAGAGAAAGAGGGAGTCACAGACTCTGAAACAGGCTCCAGGCTCCGAGCTGGCAGTCAGCACAGAGCCCGATGCAGGGCTCGAACCCACGAACCGCGAGATCATGACCTAAGCGAAAGTCGGACGCTTAACCGACTAAGCCACCCAGGTGCCCCTGCAGTTATTTTTTTTGTAATCGTCAAATTCTAGAAAGGATTTTATGTATCTGTCTATATGCATATATTTTTAAAATTCGTTTTGTTTTAGGAGCGCCTGGGTGGTTCAGTTGGTTAAGTGTCGGACTCATGGTTTCGGCTCAGGTCATGGTCTCAGGGTGTGTGAGACTGAGCTCTGCCTTGGGCTCCGCGCTGATGGTGCAGAGCCTGCTTGGGATTCTTGCTCTCGCTTTGTTTCTGTCCCTTTCCCACTTGTTCTCCCTCCCTCCCTCCCTCTCTTTCTCCCTCAAAAATAAATAAATAAACTTAAAAACTGTTTTAGGGGCCCTGGGTAGCTTAGTCGGTTAAGCGTCCGACATCAGCTCAGGTCATGATGAAGCGGTTCGTGGGTTCGAGCCCTGCATCGGGGTCTGTGCTGACAGCTAGCTCAGAGCCTGGAGCCTGTTTCAGAGTCTGTATCTCCCTCTCTCTCTGACCCTCCCCTGCTCACGCTCTCGCTCTCTCTCCTAGAAATAAATAAATTAAAAAAAAAAAAAACTGTTTTAAAAATGAAATTCGTTTTGTTTTTAAGTCAAAGTAAATGCCTTCTGGACCTCTCTCTCTGTAATTTTTTAACCAGACCTCTACTACTCTTGTTTGAGTTTGCTCACTCCTACGAGGTGCGGTCTGTTGAAACGGACAAGCCCCTGCGTCCTAATCCCTTGTGCCGGCAGTTTTCTCTGCAAGGCCACCGTCGCCTGGGGTAGCTGGCTCTAGGCAGACTCACGGTAGACCAGATGCCCACCTTCTTTTTGTGGCTCTACCTTTTTCAAGTGTATCTGGAAGAAGGCCGTTGCTGAGTTCTGCTGCTCAGTGTGTTTGAGGTCATGCCAGGTATTGTCCTTGTTCTCAAGAAGAGGGTAAGTGTGCAAACAGGGGGTGGCTTAGCACCAGGCAGCACAGAGCTGCTGACACGCAGGAGCTGTGAGATGCCCCTTTGGCAGGGATGCCGTATGAAGCACCCACCTTCTCAACTTGGACCAGCCATGAACAAAGAGGCCACAGGATGGGTGCTGACTTAGGTAAAGGGCTTCCTCCCTCTAGTTCCATTCCCTCAAGTTTTTATTCTTCTCCTTCTTGATAAATGGGGAAGCATGGGTGGTGGACAAAAAAACAAAGAAACACACACATACACACAAATGAACAAACAAACAAATCCCAAACCCTTCATTAGTCCAACACTGTTGCATGGCTCCTGGAACTTCTCACATTTGGTCTGTCACCTGTCACTTAACTCCTGAATGTCAGACCAAAGGAGGAACCACAAGCCAGGTCCCCCCCCCAGCCCGGCTACCTTATGTCCCAGGAGCCACGAGAAACGAACAGCTTCATTTCTTCTGACTGAAGACTATTTGCTGTAAAATTCTTGCCTCTGACCGGGTTGAGCAGTGACAACGTCGGGGTAGAAGCGTCAAGGAAGAACGGTCAGATGCAAGTTTTTAAACGCTGCTCTCCCTTAGTGTTTAGGGCGCCCCACACATTTGTTAGGCCTGCGGAAGTTCCTTTTTTTTCAGTCCAGTGGATTTTCTCTTACGTATCTAATTTTTATTTTTGAGTTCTTTTTGAATTCAGATGATTCGACGTTTCTTTTTCACTGTTGAGCAAAATTAAGCTAAAGGTTTCGTGTATCTATATTGAAAAAGACTTTCCCTTTGCCACCTAGTTCTGTGCTACTTTCTAGAATAATTACAAATCTTTGGTTTTGTGAAGAATGATGTGAGTTGATTTATCCTAAATTTGATAAATTCCTTTTCTGAATAGTTTCCTTCTCATAATTTCTTTCCTGAAAGTTGTCCTGGAGCTATAAGCTATAACTTATTTATTTATTTGCTTGTTTATTTATTCCGTTAGGTAAGTAAAGCTGGGCCAGTTTAATCTTTCAGGGGCCTTCGAGGGGCTTTGAAGAAAGGATCCCACTTACTAACTTTGAAAATTGAAAATAATGCTAATGGACATTCCCTGGTTTGCAAAGCAAGCAAATTAATTGGTAGTTATTGAAATTATTACTTGTCATTAAACTTTTAATTTCCTTCAAATGGTTAGGTATAACATAAAAACTTGTTAATTCTAATATTTAGCTAAGTGTACAGTTTATTAGATTTTCTTGTTAATGTTTTCTATATCATAGTTTAATTTTCTGTAAGTGTGTTCCTTTTTTAGTTTTAATTCTACTTGGGCACCTAGGTGGCTCAGTCTGTTAAGCATCCAACTTTGGCTCAGGTCATGATCTCGCAGTTCATGAGTTCAAGCCCTACGTCGGGCTCTTTTCTGACAGCTCAGAGCCTGGAGCCTGCTTCAGAATCGGGATCTACCTCTCTCTCTGCCTCTCCCCTACTTGTGCTCTGTCTCTCTTCTCTCTCTCTAAAATATAAATAGCCATTAAAAATTTTAATTCTAGCTTCATGCTATATCTCTGTGTACTCACTACCGCAGCAAGCTCTGGGCTGGCCATGTGGTAGGCGGCCAACACGTTTGTCGGTGGGCTCATTGACAACAGTGTCCAGAGAAAGAAGTTGCGGCATATATTCAGAACATCTGCTTTCTGCCATTGGTGATTAACTGCTGGTCTTTTTATTTGAGCAGCTCGTGAAGATCCTGATGTGACCATCCTAGACAGGATGACAGAAGATTTTTAACACTGGAACATTCCTTTGTGGAGTTTTAAAAACTTCAAGTAAATCTTTTATAGGATAAAGTAGAGACTTGAACTTTCATTTCTCTAGGGCAGTGTCTCAACCTTGGCAAAATCACCCTTTGGGCCAGATCATTCGTGGTTGCGGAGGGCAGCCTGTGCGCTGGAGGAATTTCTCCCTGTGTTCTATTCTCCAGGTGCCAATAGCAGCTGTGACAACCAGAAATGTTTCCAGATGTTGCCAAATGTCCCCCTTGGGGGGTGGGGGGCGGACCATGATCACCCTGCTTGGGAACTACCCTTCAGGAACAGAGTCTACACTGGAAGCGTTGAGATGTAAAGGGCCAGCCGGAAGCCCCTAGATTCATGCTGTCTGCATGGAATCTTTCTGGCCTTGTGGGGAGGCAATCCCAGGCTGCGTGGATCTTAATCCGACGCGATGGGGTGGAAGTAAAGGCAATGGATGAAGGTGTCGCTGTGTTCTCCCTGCTCTCCTGCCTCTGTCTTCCTGGAGGAGGAATAGTCAGGGCTCTGTGCTGAGTGTCGCCAAGACTTGCCTGGTGTAAAAGCTGTTTTCCCAGAGCTGGGCTCGCTGCCTGAACTCTGGCTTCCACGGATCAGGCTGCTTTGTCCAGAGCTCACACTTGGTGTCCCTTCTATGACGCTTCTATGGGAAAGCATCATTTTTCCTCCTGGGGACCCTTCAAGAAGAAGCAACAGATGCAGCTTCAAAGCAACATTCAGAAGTTCTCTTCTCTCTGCCTGCCAAAGTCTACTTTCCTTTTTCCCTCTGGTCTCCAAGTCCTAGAGTGGCAGGTGACCGTTTAAACTGGGGAAAGATGACACCTCTCATCAGCGGGACACTGGACCAGACCACGTTGCTGAGCCCCTGCCGTGGGGGTAGAGGAGGAAGTGTTAAGGGTGCAGCTGAAATTCTGAAGAGCTGCCAATCAGAGGCACATTCGCTGAAACTTCCCACTGACCCAGATACTCTGCTATCTTGAAAGCTTTATCTTCTAAGACAATGTTGACTAACAGTTTTTCTTTTATTCTGCCTCCTGTTTTAAAAGAATAACAAATAAGCTTAATTCTTCACCAAATCTTCAGCAAATGTCTTTTAATCCAACGCAATGGTAGTTATTTTAAGAAGGCTGGCAGAGGACTGTGGCGGTTTTCTATTTTTCGGTCTGGGCTTTTTTGTTGTTGTTGTTGTTGTTGTTTTCCTCATACAGAAGCACTCAATCACATTTAACCTTGGCTTGCACCCAGCCACATTGACTTTGTTTGCACAGAACTGATATAACTGCCTTCAGCTCTTCTATTCTCTTTTCTGTCTTCCTACTAAGCCTTACAGTTTAAATAACAGATTAAAACACTCCCCGCACACACAGAGGAGATTCATAGATACCACGGATCTTTGCTCCCTATAACTTCGAGGACTGGATTCCACACCCAGGCTGGGTCTGTCGGAGGCAGAGAGTGGCTGATGGAAGCACCACGCTTGAATGGAGGGAGAGTGCACCTGGGGAAACCACCTGATGCTTGAATGGAATGGCCCTCGGAGGAGACTCCTTGGGCAGCCAGAGAGAGAGACGCGCTCCCGAGGTCAAAGGGATTGGGGTATTCCTTGCCCCGCAGAGGTGCTGGCGACTCTGTTCTCCAGAGATAAGAGCAATCTAGAGATTCTTCATCTGTGTTACCGAAGGGACGGGCTCTCTGCATACCTCCCGTGGGGCGTCCTCTGGTTATTATCTGCCCTGTAAGACTGGAGTTTTGAACCGGTTCTCCAATGCTCTGGTGGCCCCGAGATTATTTTTCTCACCCCTCGGCCCCACCTGACTTCTTTTAAACAAGTTTTTTATTAGAAGAACATCTTGGGTTTAGAGAGAAATTGGAAACATAATGCAGGGTTCTGGTCTACCCCTCCCCCAGATCCCCCAGTTGACATCTTATGTTACTTTGGGACCACCCCCACCTCATTTTAAGAGCTCATTTTCCTTTCCACTTGGAAGGAAACCACAGAATTGCCTACTAATACTAGTAATGATTAGGATCCATAGGATACATTCGTGTTTTACCAGTTGTTTGACAACGTCTGACTGGGGTTTGTTCTGTTCTTCATTTTAAGAGGCAAAAGTTTGTACTCAGACCTATTGTCAGGTGGGCAAACTGTGACATACGAGACCGAGCTGGCTTTACTAATGAAGTGTGGGCAGGGGGAGATCAGACCTCAGTCACTCCTGCCAAATCCTGGGGTCCACGGATGAGGCCATCTCTACAATCCAAAAATCTTAGCAATTTCCTCCTGGGTGATCGGAGCCATTTTATTTCAGATTGCCTTCTTTTGCATCAAACGGACATCGCTAAGGTGAGTAAATGATTGGACGGAATTCATAGAGTTCTTGTCCATAAAATGATTTAAAAGACGTGTTAGAGAAAGAAGCCATGAGAGGTGGGTAAAGCTTGGGCTGATGTCTGGTGCACAGTAGTTATAAATAACATTGCTTTATCAAGATCTATTTCTGGATGTGGGAGAATAAATAATGAAGCCTCTAGAGAACGCTGAGTGGCAGATTTATTTTGCTAACAAAATAAAGTGATTATAGAGAATTAGGAAAGACTGAGCTTGGAAGGCCTCCCTGCCATGGATAGACTCCAAGGAGGTCAATGTTCTGTTTGTCTTCTTGAAGGTGCAGAAATAAGGGCACGGATGAGGGACAGCAGTTATCAAGGAGCTGTCCTCTTTCACTAAGAGTGCATTTTTGGATGAGGAGAGAATGGTTCACAGGAAGCATTTGGTTCACAGCCATGTTCATTTCCAATCTGAGTCCACTCTCCATTTCAGATGGAGGTCTTAAATATGGGACACTTGTGTGTAGGTGTTTGCTTACGCACACCTTGTGGAGGTACATGCCCTCCCCTCCCTCTCCTTCTTCCTCTTCCATCTTTCCAATCCCAGGGCCCCGCCTCTGAAAGATCTTGCTTCTGCACCTAGGAAAAACCCCGGATGAAATAAGAGAACTCTGCTAAGGAGGAAAGATGAAATTGTGGACTTTCTCCATTACCCTTGGATTATAGTTAATAAAATGATTCTTTTAATCCCTGAAAGGAGGTTTAAATCAATAGCAATAGAAACTAACCATGTGGCCCCTGGTCATAAACCTTGTCTCACCCCAGGAGAAGAGTGGGAACCAGTGTACTATAGACTTTTGTGCTTTTCAGAGGAAAACAAAACAGAAAACTTAGCTCGTCATTCTTCTCAAGGAGCTTTCACTGGGAAATACATCTGGACAGAACATTCTCGTTTCATGTGTAATGAGATCATTACACAGATCTTAGGTTCTGTAGGAATCCAGGTAGAAGCAAGTTGAGATGGTAGTTAAATGTGGCTCAACTCAAAATGAAATTGGGGATCAGACAGTGACATGTGAATGAGGGCTGTTAACTGAAATGGAGAAACTAATCTCTACAGTGAATGTTTATCAGAGTGGATCAGACTGATCTTCAGTTGGGTGAAAGGTACCCTGTCTCTACCAGTTCTCCATTTCAGTTACTGCTGTGTGAAGTAAGGGCCACAGTCTAACGCTGGCTCTCTGTTTTAGCCCTCCATGGGGCTCTCCAATGCCTCTCCTATTTAATCGTTCTGTGATTGCCCGTCTTCAGGGCCACGCGTGTTCCCTGACATCATGGCGGCCGGCCGGGTCTTTCCGTCCGGGTCTTTCCGTCCGGGTCATTGTGGTTATCATCACACTGCAGTTTGAATACTGGTGTTACTGGTTAGCCTGGGATAAACTGCGAGTGTTGTAACTCTAATGAAGACTCACGTCTCAGCTTGTTAGGTGGTGGGTAGCGGGGTTGCTTAACACAGCACTTCAGTTCAAAGTGAAGGCGAGAGGGAGTGGAGATCGTAGATCATAGATCACAGAGCAGATGTGAACCCAGAAATGCCAGCGTTCCCCACTTTGCAGAGCAAACTTGCAGGCACACGAATTATCGATGGGACTCACCAACATGTGTGCAGGGAAAGTGAAGCCAACAGAGCCATTGGAGGACTCCAGCCAGCTCATAAGAAGCTTATAACTCCTTGGCAATTTGTTTAACTTGGGAGTTATTGCAAAGTCAGAAAGGTATTGGGCCCCAGGGATATTGGCAAGGTTGTTGGGAGTCTCCCACTGTGAAAAGCAAGCTTTGCTAATGGGATTTTTTTTTTCTTCAGGTGTTCAGTGTTGAGTTTTTCAGGCCAAGACTTCTGGAAAAAGCAACATTAATCACCTTGGCATGTTAGGTTAATGGGACTGGTGGTTACAAAAACTCCCCTATTCTAGTATGTTCTACTAAGATCTTCCCATTTAGAGGATCAGATTCATTTATTCATTTATGTGTCAGTAAACAAATATTGGTGGAGGTCTTGCGTGTGCCAGAGGCTGTACCAAATATCCGAAGACAGATCTTTCTTCTCTGGTCCCTGACCTTGTGTCCTGTGTGCCGACCTTCTACTTCTGTGCCCTCACGTCCCCTGTTTCTTTTCTCAACTCCTGATTCTGGAATTCTGATTTGAAAGGTATGGAGAAGATCCTTCCAAAGAGAAAGAGGTTGAAATTATTCGTGGCTTATGTATTTATTCATTTAAAACATATTCATTAAGAACCTAGGATAGGAATAGGTAATTGGGGCAGACTTTCTACAAAGGAAAATTTGCCTTATCCGCATTCCACAAAATAAGCTGTTTTTTTATTTTTAGAGAGAGAGAGGGCGCAAGTGAGCATGGGCAGGGAAAGAATGAGAGAGGGAGGGAGAGAGGAGAGGGAGAGCAAGAGCGAGCGAGTGAGAGAGAGGGAGAGAGAGTGAGGGAGAGAGAAGTGGGGCTCACGGGGACTAGTGTTCTACCTGAAGTGGGTCTGCAGCTCACCAGAAGTGGGGCTCAACCCCACCCGACGCGGGGTTCTAACTTACTGACTATGAGATCATGACCTGAGCCAAAGTCAGATGCTTAACGGCTGAGCCCCTCAGGTGCCCCACAAAATAAGCTTTCTTAGGCTGAATTTCTTGGACATTACAGAAATAATAATTGATTGCTGTGCATATCCTGGGGTCCAAGAGACATCTGAATTTGTGGGATTCATACTTTAGGGTGAAGAAAAAATTCAGAAGAGTCACTCTTTTATGCTTCTGGACTGGGAGGTTAGATGGGGGCAATGCCTCTGATTTAGGGAGGGTTCCCAGGGACCAAACACACTTTCCCCCTATTTTCACCACTTTCTCTGTATCCAGTCGCTAGTTGAGTCCCTGTGACTTCATGTCTACAATGTTTTGCATATGTGTCTTTTTTTGTTTTCTTTTCAACTGCTGATTGCTTCTGTCCAGACTTTTTATTGCTTTTGCATATATATCATTACAGTAGCATTCAGGTCAAAGATCTCCTTATCTCCAAACTTTCCCAGCTCTGGATCATTTCCCACACCGCTGCTGGACTTTTTTGCTGCATTAGATCAGCCCTCTCCTTCAAAACAATACTATTGCCTCTTGAGCTAAGAGGAGCATCCCAGCAGAGCATCAAATACTGCATCTAAACAAGCCTGGTTGTTCAGAATGTGGACTCTGGGGGCCCCTGGGTGGTGCAGTCAGTTAAGCATCTGAATCTTGATAGGGGCTCAGGTTATGATCTCACGGTTTGTGAGATTGAGCACTGTGTTGGGCTCTGCACTGACAGCATGGAGCCTGCTTGGGATTCCTTCTTTCCTCTCCCCTGCTCACGCCCTCTCTCACACTCCCTCTAAATAAATAAATAGACTTCAAAAAAAAAAAAAAGAATGTGGACTTTGAAATCAGAAACACCTGTGTTAACATCCCAGCGGGGCCTACTGAGCTTCAGCGTTACCCTCTGAAAAATGGGGATGACACCCATACTTCAGTGAGTGGGAAAGGACACTTGGGGGCTCGTATGCCCTGAAGCCTTCTTCTTCTTTCTTTTTTCTGATTCCTCTACAAGCAAACATTTTCCTCCTTTTAATCGGCACCTTGTTTGCATCTGTCTCAATGCTCTCTGCTTTGTGCTGGGCTTGTAGTCAGTGCCTCACTGTCCCTCCTTCGCCTTCCCCCCGCCCCCATCTGGCTGTGGACTCCTCAATGGCAAATTCACCTTTGCCTGTCTTCTCCTAGCGCAGTCCGCAGCGGAGGATTCTGGGAGTCGGCTTGTTCATTTGCCAAAGGTTGGCGTGGACTCCTCTGTGGCTGGTTGAGGTATGGCCATCCACGATTGCAGCTGTTTTTGTACATAAGTGTTTGCCACAGTGCAGCTTAGGGTTTTTAAAGGCAAGGCGGTGGCTTGTTTGCCTTTGTATCTCTGGCACACAGATGCTCAATACACAGGAAAGAGTCAGTAAATATTAGCTGAATGGAATCCGCAGGGGTTAAATGACAGACTTATTGCATTGTACATCCTGATTCTCAGGCTATGACCTTTTCAGGGCTCCAGGCTGGTTCACTTCCTCAGCCTACATTCTTCATTCTGGACGCCTGAGAAAAGTTCCGGCTGATAACTGGGTAGTTAAAAGGACTCTCGGGGCGCCTGGGTGGCTCAGTCGGTTAAGCATCTGGCTTTTGGGTTCGGGTCAGGTCATGATCTCCCAGTTTCATGAGTTCGAGCCCCTGTTGGGCTCTGTGCTGAGAGCACAGCCCAGAGCCGACTTGGGAGCCTCTCTCTCTCTGCCCTTCCCTCGTTTGTGCTGTCTCTGTCTCTCTCAAAATAAATAAACTTAAAATAAACTAGAAGGACAGAAAAGCTCTGAGCAGGAGAAATCACTTATCCCTGGCAGGAAAAAAAAAACAACAACCCAACAACAACAAGAAAAAAAAAAGTGATTACATTGATTACATTGGTAGGTGGCAAAAGCCACATGACACATATACAGGTGTACCAACAGTCTCTCCTTCCTCAATATCAGCTCTGCGGTACTTGAGAGGCGAGGAAACTGGGTCCCATTGCCATATCCTGAGCGTAGTGGTTAGAATCGCTGGCAGGGTTAATAAAGGCTGTTGAAGTTAAACTTCCGTTAGTGGTTAACTCCCTCCTCTCTTCAGGTTCCTGTGAGACCCCTGACAGATGCTGTGAGCTGCAAACGTGTCCAAGCTCTTTAATTCTGTGCATGGTGTCTACACTCGGGGGTAAGGCGGAGGGCTGAGGGGAGAGCCAAGTTCACGAGGAGATGGTTTCGCAGTTCTGTACAACTCAGAGCTCCTCCGGGCGTGTGAATGAGGCTGGCCCCCGAATGAGAAATGCCAAGTACGGACCCGACATAGGAATTCACAGCACTCAAAGCAGGGACCAGTGAATGAACCCGAGGGGGGAACAGACTCACACTTTCAGCTGTCGCTTTGCCCGAGTCCGTCGTCGTCCCAGATGGGACGTTTTCTGGGTCTTGGCATCCGTGAAGTGATGGAGACCCTTCACGTCCAAGGCTCCTTCCTAAACTCCGCAGGCCAGGCCACATTAGCAGGAATGGACCGCGTCCTTGCCAGAGACACACAATTGTGGGAGGGAATTCTGTTTGGCGCTGCGCTCAAGTGTTGCCAAACGATATTCCTAAAAGTTTTCAAAAGTCTGCAGTGGGATTACAGGGCTCGCAGAAGCCCCTGCCAGGCCTCGGACACAGTGGGTGGGATGCGAGAAAGACCTAGGTTTGAATAAAGGTCAGTTGTTTTCCCGATGAAGGACGTTGAGGGACGTCAGTGAGGTAGTCACCAAGGGCCCCTGCTGGAGACACCCCCTTTGAAGCTTTCTTATCAGTAAGATAAGGTCGTGGGTACTTTTCTTACTGGGCAACTGTGAAAAAATGTTTTATGTACTGGATTTGTCTGGATTCTCCCGAGAAACGGAACCAAGTGAGGGGGTTTGGGGGTGTGTGTGTGTAGAGAGATTCATTTTCAGGCACTGGTGCAGGTAGCCGTAGGCGC